CCTTTGCACGGGCAGCTCGTGCGTTGGCCATTTATTTTTCTAGCAGGCAGACGTGAACCCACTGGTCAGATTACGTTTGGATTTGAAAACTGATGAAAATTATCAAGCCCACTTATTTTGGCATATTGAAAGTCCAAAGTTCCCATCAAGATTCTAGCTTTGTAGTTTTTTTATTCTTGAGTTCATACACAGGCCCGAATTTGAATTTGAGGTATTAGTAAGCATGCAGAGAAAGCCGAAGTTTAATTTCAGGGGCGCATTTGCAGCCCCGAACAAGTTCCAGGGTTGTTTTCTTCAATTTTTAGCTTCTTAGCTCACACAACTTGGAAGACGAATTTAATGGAAAAATAGGGGCACACAGAAACTTACGCATACATACACACACACGTGTACACACACGCACACACACACACACACACACACACACACACACACACACATACACAAGCACGATTTTGTTACACTGCAATGGTTTTTTATTTATGCAGATTCACATAAAAAACAAAGAATGGACACGGGTGGAAGGCCGTTCTGGACAAGAAATTGTATGTGAAAGCATTGAAATGCGAATTATTCTCAATCAGTAAGATCCCTTCCCCAAAAGACACAAGTAAAATGCAATGATCCATCAATTCATGACATTTGTAAAACATTAAATCCCCAATCTCTCCAACAAATCTAACAATGATCAATTTGTGCACACTAAAACTTATTCACACCCTGTGCAGCCAGCGTGCCGGGTTTTTGGGGCACGCTGGCGGCAAATGTACCAAATGCGCCTTTTCGGTTTTTTATGCACATAGTTGGCGACTCTCAACAATCTATATTAAAAAAAAAAGAAAGTAAAATTCGTTTTGGAGTCAAAGATAAGATCAAAAGCTCGGTGTCGATGTTCCTGGTCTTTAAATGATCGCGAACTTTATTCATAAGCTCCTGGGATTGTACTTTTGGTTTTGCGCCACAAAATTGTTGGACCAAGGGCTAAAATACTGAACTGTCCGAAGACTGATTTTAATTTCTTGGTTTCGTACAGTGTGTATGCGATCCTCCAAACGACTTCAGGCTTGGTTCTTTTTCCAGTCCTTAAATTATGAGATCTTTTTTAAATTTGAGCTTTAAGTCAACGGTCGGGGCTCGGAGCGACTTGAGACCTAATTCCAGTTTGATAATTGTCGTGTGTGGTTGGAAAATTTTTCCTTACAAAACAGTTTTCTAGTTTCTTTTCTTTCGGTTTTTTTGGAGTCGAAATGTTTGGTTAAAGTGATGAACAAGAAACAGACAGACAAGCGCATACACATCATCTTGCTTTACTGTGTTTTTGCAATCTGATATAACATCCAGACAAAAAAATATGTCAC